CAGGCTGTGATCTATTCCATCTGGAGAGCGTATGAAACAAACAACCTACCAAGTATTGGATGGTGCAGCTCTCTGACCCTCAGCTCCTCCTCTGATACTTTGGTTCAGCCTGATGTATGCATCACACTCAGCTGTACTTCTGAAGTTAATCTTTAGCTCTATCATAAACCAAAGGTCCCCCCCCCCCCATCACTCATCATCTGAATTTTGCAGCTCATGTTATGGAGTAATTATGGAGTAATTATTTTTTTAGAAAACTTTTTACTTCTATTCCTTACATTTTTTTTTTTTTTTTTTTTGCAATCATCTCTTCTTTCTATTCCTTACATTTGAAAATAAGCTTAAATGAAAGAAAACCAATGAGTCTGTTAGTTTTGTTTCATTTAAGCTCATTTTCATTATGTCCTGTTGGTATTAAAAAGAAAAAAAAGCATCTAAATAATTATTTTCATCCAGACAATTTATTACTTTGTGGATGGACTCAGTGCTGCCCCAACTTGTTGTTCACCACATACCAAAATAAACAGTTTTTCAAGATGATGATTTGTTTTTCAGATGCAAAGTTAAATTTGACAATGTTACCATTAGTTATAAAACTAAGAAAATTAATTATAAGGATGTTATCCAGAAGTTTAGAAAAATGTCCCGTTGATGGGGTAGTGCAGAAAAGCTTTTGTCCTTAATATTTCTTTTCGTTTACTTTTAGTTTTATACTTTGTTAGGTTTAATTATTTATACATCATGTGCATTGTTATTTTGTTAGTCAGATTAGACAGAGCAGAAGGCCTTCCTTCACATTGTGGATGTCACGGTGTGTACGGAGGTCATCTAATCAGGACAGCCTTCATGTCTTTAAGAATACACAGGATATGGGCACATCTTGGATCCGGTCTGATAGGAGAGCTGCTGTATCTGTAACCCTGAAGCATAGAAGCAACCTGCATGAAGTTCAAGACATGGATGGCGTGTCAGTTTCTGATACGGACAGCTAAGCATCCACATGATGCAACACAGACTCAGAAGGTATAAGAAGCAGGTGATGACCTTCATCGGGGCTCAAACTTTGCCGGACGCTTGCGGACGTGATGTTTTGAGACCAAAGCTGTGCATAGCTCGAAGCATTTTTCTCTGTCCTGTAACGACCTGATCTGGAATAAACTCTGTTACTTTTTTACTCCTGTTTTTATAGTCCTTTTTTATATGGTTTTAACGAGTTTGAGTTAAGAGTAGTAAATAACTTGCTTCCAGGAAAAGAACCGATGAGGAGGCCCCCGGGGCGCTACAGCCTTTACTTCCAAGGGGACAAATCCTCCTCACTTTAACAACTTTAAGTAGTTTTAAAAATGGTACTTTCACACTTTTACAGGAGTAAAAAGCTTAAGTTGATCCTCTAATTTCTATTAAGGTGTTTTAAAACATCATGATTTCTACTTCAGTAATAAACATTTATACTTTTGACACCTCTGTGTTGATGTCATATTTTGGTGAGACCGTATGATTTTCGTCTCAGTTTCCTGTTCTTAGCTGACAGGAGTGACTCTCAGTGTGGTTTTCTGCTGCAGCTCATCTGGCTCAAGGTTTGACGCTTTGTTTAATTCAGAGATGCCATCCTGCATACTGTGGTTGTATTGGGTGGTTATTTGAGCTGCTGTTATCATTTTGCAGTGCTGCAGCAGTCTCACATTTCTCTANAAAACAGAATCTGCAGAGAAGGAAAAGTCCAGCTACAATAAAACCTTTACTGCAGTTTTACTTCCAGTGTGTTTCTCTCTGCAGGTCTTCATTCTGTACTTCAAGCCGAGTACCTTCAGATGTATTCTGCTGCGCTGGGTCCGAATGCTTGGCTTCTCCATTGTCTATGGCACAATTACACTGAAAATGTACAGGTAAAGAATTCAAATAACTTAAAAAAACACAACAGCAGAGAAGGAGAGCAGAAGAAGTGATGATCCTCTCCACCTCGTATTGACTGATAAACCGGGGGGAGAGTTTTTTTGGACATTCCCTTAAGGGGAATGTCCCTAGTGGAAAGCCATACCTTCTGGCCGGGGGTGAATGCAGGAGCGACCCTCCTCCTGCAATAACAGCCTGCAGTTATTAAACTAAAGGAGAAAGTGTAATATCATGCAGAGGGCATTCAGAAAATAAAATCAGCAACAGAGATTGGCCTGTTAGAGATACTTTATGCTGCCCTTCAAAATAAGAAAATTCAATTGATGGGACTTTATCTACCCTAGGAAAAATAGAAAATCTCTTTTTACAAACACTTTCTCCTCTGCCTCTACTTTATTTATAAAATTCTTAAATCTTTACATTGATCATAAAAATTGACCCAAACTGGCATTTTCTGCGACATGAAATAATAGACATTTATCCAGTCTTTTTCCTCTTGTAAAGAACAAAGTGTTTTGTCATTAATGACGCCCTGACTCCCTCTCTCTCTCTCTCTCTCTCTCTCTGTCCAGGGTGCTGAAAGTGTTCCTCTCACGTACAGCCCAGAGAATGCCCTACATTTCCAGCCTCCACCTGCTGAGGATCCTGGGAGTCATGCTGATGACGGTCAGCTGGTTCCTGTGTGCGTGGACCGTGGGTGTTCTCCAGAACCGAGACCGGAGCATTCCGGTTTTTCTTACAGCCACCACGGCAGACGGTCAGGGCTTCAGCCTGTGTTACCTGGACCGCTGGGACTACATGATGGCTGTGGGTGAGTGTGTTATTCTCCTCAGTGCTAACAGGCTGTGATCTATTCCATCTGGAGAGCGTATGAAACAAACAACCTACCAAGTATTGGATGGTGCAGCTCTCTGACCCTCAGCTCCTCCTCTGACACTTTGGTTCAGACTGATACATGCATCACACTCAGCTTTAAGGGCTTTTTACTTCTATTCCTAATTTTTATTTTATTTTTTTTTTGCAATTATATCTTCTTTCTACTCCTTACATTTGAAAATGAGCTTAAATGTAACAAAACCAATGGGTCTGTTAGTTCTGTTTCATTTAAGCTAATTTTCATTATGTCCTGTTGGTTTTAAAATTATTTTCATCTGGACAATTTATTTCTTTGTGGATGGACTCAGTGCTGCCCTAACTTGTTGTTTACCACATACCAAAAAAAAGTTTTTCAAGATGATAATTTGTTTTTCAGATGCAAATTTAAATTTGACACTGTTACCATTAGTTATAAAACTAAGAATCAACCAGAAATTTAGAAAAATGTCCCGTTGATGGGGTAGTGCAGTAAAGCTTTTGTCCTTAATATTTAATTTCGTTTACTTTTAGTTTTATACTTTAAGTAGTTTTAAAAATGGTACTTTCACACTTTTACTGGAGTAAAAAGCTTAAGTTGATCCTCTAATTTCTATTAAAGTGTTTTTAAACATCATGGTTTCTACTTCAGTAATAAACATTTATACTTTTGACAACTCTGTGTTGATGTCATATTTTGGTGAGACTGTATGATTTTCGTCTCAGTTTCCTGTTCTTAGCTGACAGGAGTGACTCCCAGTGTGGTTTTCTGCTGCTGTAGCTCATCTGGCTCAAGGTTTGATGCTTTGTTTAACTCAGAGATGCCATCCTGCATACTGTGGTGGTATTGGGTGGTTATTTAAGCTGCTGTTATCATTCTGCAATGCTGCAGCAGTCTCACATTTCTCTAGTGACCTTCCTCTAATATCAGAGAGGTGATCTGTTCCCACAGCTGGCATGCTCAGATGTTTTCCTCAAACTTCAGCAAGTCATCTCCTCCCGACCTGGATTGGCTGAATGTGTAACGCAGTGAAGAATGTGATTTAATGTGTTACGGAGCTTTATTAAACATTCATGTCAGTGTATTGTAAAATTTTTGTTGTTATTTTTTTTTGCTTGGAATGAACTTAATAACTTTAAAATTAAAAGTTTAAAACTTAGGTAAATGTAGCAAAATCAATTGTTTGAGAAGTATGAGATTTTCCCTGTTCCAGACCAAACCACAAGGATAAATAACGGTAACATTCTCCTTATTTCAAGCTTACTGGTTACAGCTCCAAAATTTCAACCAGTTGTTGTTGTTTTTTTTTTTTTTTTAAGGTTAGCTTTAATTATTTCAGCACATGTTCTGTGCTGTTAAAAGTTATTTACTCTGTTGCCAGCGGTAACTACCATCCCTACTATCTTTGCTTTGATTATCTGAGCCTCTCAAATCGTCGCTTTTAAAAGAATGACCAACTATTTCATAGACCTCCAAATCATTGCCGCATTTACAGTAGGTAGTTATAAACAAAACGTATACATGTGTTAATCTATAAGAATGACCTTCCTTGTAACATATAAACACTACATAATAAAGTGGGTAAAACTAAAACTATTGTAGCCTGAAATCACAGAAAAGCTCTGTTTTGCAGTAAATGTTTCACCTTGTAATATGACTGTTAAAGACTGCCAACCTATACAAATCTTTAATGTAAATAACTATTCAAAAATATTAAAAAGGACTTAAAAGATGATTTACATGTTAAATACACACATTTCATTATTTCTTTCTATGATGAGACAAACTGCAGAAATCGAGTATTCAGACTACTGGCACTTTTATATTTACCTCCCCACTCATAGTAAAGTTCTACTAATGTAGGTTTAACTGATCTAAAGGTGATTAATGTGCCTAAAAGTGATCTGAGATTATTGTGTTCTTGAACATCCTTAAATCCACTTAATAACATATATTTTTGTGACGTAAAATATCACATTATGATGAATAAAATGTTTCTAATCGTGATGTGAATTTTATACAATTCTAATGAAAATATCTGTTAGAAAAAGAAATACAGATAAAAAGGTGTGATGACCCTGTTAAATAACACATTAAATTCCTGCACTAATACTTATCTGAAGAACTTTTAATTTCAGCAGTTTTCTCTTTCGTTAGCATCTGTGCATATATTTATTTCACTGTCTTGAAGAAGTTCCTCAAATGTGTCAGACATGAAGACATCTCATGTTCAGAGCTCTCTTTAGGTGACCCAAGAGATTTTAAGCTCATTTAGGCTTTTTCAGATCTTTTATTGCAAGATTTTAGGCAATGTTCTTTGGTTCTGGATGTTTTCATTGAAAGAAAAGGCTTTGCTCTTGCAGAGAAGCTGTGAGTCAGGCCGTGTTACATGAAAGCAGACTCATTTAGGTTGGTTTCTAATCAACATTCTGCCTGTTTTCCTGTTTTTTTCAGCTGAGCTTCTGTTCCTGTGCTGGGGAAGCTCCCTGTGGACAGCCGTCCGTCCCGTCCCCTCAGCCTTTCATGAACCTCGCTATATGGGCATCGCCATCCACAACGAGCTTTTGCTGTCCTCCATGTTCCACCTGTTTAGGTAACCATGGCACAACCATTATTTCATATGTTCAAAGAAATACAAATTTTGCTGGACAGGGAATGACTATGTGTTTGGATCTTTCATTAGGTTCACCTTTCAGTCTCTCCATCCAGACTGGATGTTACTGCTGTCCTTCATCCACACCCACGTCACCATCACAGTCACACTCATGCTGCTCCTTGTTCCAAAGGTATTTAGATGTCCCTAAACCAATAGGAAAGCAACTAATGGCTGCTTGAATTAACAGAATGCAAAGTTTCAAATTAAATAATCTTATGGTAACCTTTTCCTTCAATAATTAGCTTTTAGATCACCAATCTTCATTTATACATATTTAACTAGTTTAACAAAGCTTTGAAACACTGTCCTGCTACATTCAGAATGAGCTGATCTCATAAACTTCAACATACTTGTGTTTCTCCCCTAGTTTTTCTACAAATCTAAAGCTAGAAAAGAGGAAATAGCAGCAGAAGTGTATGAAGATGAACTGGATCTTCGTCGTTCTGCCTCATTCCTCAACAACAGCTTTTGTTCTGCTTTAAGTGAGCGCAGCATGGATCCAGATGATTTTCAGGTAAAGTGTGATCTCCCCTCAAGATATACATTAGGTCCTTCAGCATATGTCCCTCCATATGTCTTCACTTAGGTGTTGCATGCCTGAGACAAAGTGCCACCTCAGCTGACTCCTCTCTATGTGGAGAAGCAGCAGCTCTAATCCAAGCCCCTCAGATAGCTGAGCTGCTTACCCCATCTTTTGAGATTGGTTTATGCTTGGTGCTGCCCACCCAAATTACATTATTGGAGCATCTATGCCCCTCCCCGGAAACTATAAACATCTGTTGATGTTAAGATATGGTCCAAAAATATGACATTCATTCAGAAATAGATTATAAGCAACTCTTGCAAAGAAATGACTGTCTCTTCTGGGTGACACAAAGAGGCATTGGAAATGGTGGAAAAAAAAAATTTCCACTTCTGCATGTAGTATGGTGTGGTAAGCTTGCTGACTGTCCCCTACATTGCAGGCTAAATAAGAACCCATCGACTGCCCTTTCCCAATGGGCAGACCCATTCATCCGGTTCAATTTGCATGTTTTCTAAGCCAAAACAAGGCTTTGTTTTTGGTCCACTCTATAAAGCCTCGAACTCAACGCTAACACTGACATTTTGAATTAAAAAGCCTCCTGAATAAGAAGCAAAACGTCTAGTGGATTGTTTTTTAACTTTGAATTGGCTATGACCTAGATGACTGAGAATCTTCACCAGTGATCCCCTTTACTGCCCTCCAGAGTCTACCAGAATATTGAATACAACGTTGAAATCTGCAAGGGATACTATAGCTATGTTTACATGGACACAACTAATCGGATTGAAGGCCTGATCAGATCAAAAATGTTTCATGTAAACATGTCAGACTGAAGATTCTAATCCGATTC